AAAAAAAAAAAAAGACCAGAATCGCAGCCAATCTCTTCTCTTACAGTGAGCTGCATCAGAAGGATCGGAAAGCGTTGAGCTGCTTGTCCTTTTCTTTTTTGCTTTTTTTTTTTTTCATTTCGTTTTTTAACATCGGAAGGGGATGTCCTTCATCAGACTACTATCCTCCTCCGAACATAATGCACCCTGAAAATGAATGCATACTAGCTCTCTTTCTGGTTCTATGCAGCCATAATAAGGCTGCATTGTGTTCAGGGGAAGACGGTAGTAGGGATTTGGGCGGCTTGGCATTGTTGGCATCTATTGATGCTGCTACAGGGGAACTTTCAGGAGAACTTTCAGGAGAACTTTCAGTTTCAAATTGGTTCCTGGTTTGAAAGCTGGCGCATTTATTTACTACCGGACCAATCTTTTGCGATTTGCAGCTTTTTGTTTTGTTACATATACATAGCGACCACCGACCGCCTTTACCCGGATAGAGAACGCCCAGTCATTATAGCTGTATTTGGGGCAACTTTCAGTCCAGATGCAGCGGCAGTGAGAGGGGGGCGTTCTATTTTGGTGAAGACGGTGGGTTTTGGAGGTTGAGCTGTTTGAATTGGTGTTCAAAATCTTTGCCTCTTCTTTTCTTTGTTTTTTTAAGAGCTAATGTGTACTTTTTTTTCTTTTTTTTTTTTTTTTTTTTAAGGTGGTCCTTGCTACAGGGGAGGGACTCAGCCTGAGGGTGAGAGGGTGACGCCTTGCGGACTGCGTAACATAATTTCTTAAAAAGTTACTTGCTTTTTTTTTCTGATAAAAAGTTACTTGCTTTTATAAGTTAAGTTACTTGCTTTTATAAGTTTTATTTTTCTGAAATAAAAAGTTACTTGCTTTTATAAGTTTTAGTTTTCTGAAATAAAAAGTTACTTGCTTTTATAAGTTTGAGTTTTCTGAAATAAAAAGTTACTTGCTTTTTTTTTCTGAAATAAAAGGTTACTTGCTTTTTTTTTTTTTCTGAAACAAAAAGTTACTTGCTTGATGCCTAGACTTGGGCATATAATTTCTTAAAAAGTTACTTGCTTTTTTTTTCTACAATAAAAAGTTACTTGCTTTTTTTTTCTGAAACCAAAAAGTTACTTGCTTGATGCCTAGACTTGGGCACTGGGCTCGTGTGAAAAAAAAAAAAAAAAAAAAAAAAAAAAATTGGCCCATTTAATACACAGTAATTATTTTTCTTTTGAGGAACTTGAGCAAGTGTTTACACACTGTTTAATGTGACTGTTTTAAAAAAAAAAAAAAAAAAAGCTTTATTATACAACCCGGGAAACGGGCCCGGCATCGCTCCCAAGATATAGTCGTGCTCCCTGCTTGCGTGTATGAGAGCGACTTGGCTATTGCTTGTCTTTTTTTTTTTTTTAAGCTTGAATCTAAATTTTTAAAAAGCCGAGAATCTTTTGAGGAAGAAGTGATGAATATGGACTCTTCTTTTTCTCTCTTTCCCTTTCTTTTTTTTTTTTTTTTTGCAGCGCCAAGACAATATATTAGCTTCTCTTTCTCAAAACCTTATCCGAAGCTAAAGGATTTTTCTCTCTTGTTAAAAAAAAAAAAAAAAAAAAAAAAAAAAACAACAACACTTCTCCAAACCACGAATCTCTGCCACATTCCGAATTCACTAATGACGCTCGTCTGAACGGACTCCCTCTTTTTTTTCCTTTTTCTTTTTTCTCTCTCTTCTTCTTTCTTTTTTTTTCTGTTTTTTTTTTTTTTTTTTGGTTAACCGCTTTCCCTCACTTCTACGCATTGTATCGCATCTTTACGCATATCTACATATTAATTTACAAAAAAATAAATAAATAAATAAAGTGGGTAGGGGTGGAGGGTGCCGTGGCGTGGGGATGATGGGTGGGATAGGGTGGGGGCGCTCAACCTCAAGAGCCTAACTTGTTATTCATAATTAATTCAATTATTGATCAATTACAATCATTTAATTATTTAAATTATTTAGTCATTTATTTGTATTAATTTTTTATTATTTATTAACTTGCCTCAATCACCCTAACACGAGTCGAAGAAGCCTTGAGCGCAGCCCACACATATTTGCAAATCAGGTTAATTATTATTAATCATATGATCCTTTTTTTCTTTTTCTTTTTTTTACTTAATGATTTCCTCATCTAATAATTGTATTATTACTAGTATGTTATTATTAACTTGCCTGAATCACCCTAACATGAGTCGAAGAAGCCTTGAGCGTCGCCCACACATACGTGCAAATCAGGTTAATTATTATTAATTATATGATCCTTTTTTTTTCTTTTTTTTTTTACTCAACTTATTTTAATGATTTCCTCATCTAATTGTATTATTACTAGTAAGTTATTATTAACTTGCCTGAATCACCCTGGCATGAGTCGATGAAGCCTTGAGCGCAACCCGCACATATCTGCAAATCAGGATTGAACTGAGTGTAATTAGGCGCCTTGTAATTGCCACACCCATCAGGCAGAGAGTTGATGACAGCCGAGAGTAGATCTCTAGATGCACTTCCCAGATACGACGTCGTTCCCCACCCACTGATCGTCACATCCACACCGTCCTGTAGCAACGGACTGTCATCAACGGCTATCTTGATTGGCGCAGTGCGCGTCGTGATTGGTACAGCTGCCGCCAGCTTGATTACTGCCACGTCATTCTCGTAATTGAAGTTGAAACCCGCATGGCGCCAAATTTGCTCGATCGGTATATTCCTTCCCATTGCGTATTCATTGCTCCCTACATAGAGTTTAATCTGTGACTGATTGAGCGTTTGAAGATCGCTTGTGATCACACAATGAGCGGCAGTGAGGACATGCTCAGGATCAATCAAAGTGCCTCCACAGATGGATGTGGAAGAGGAAACGAAGTCCGGTCTGTTGATTGCCAGGAGGACTTGATGAGGGAAAGAGAGCTGGTTTGCCGTCCTCCCTCGCACAATCCTACTATCATTCACTCGCAAAGACCGGTCAAGATCGTCATCGCGATAGCTACGCTCATCCTCCTCCTCCTCCTCCTCCTCCTCCTCCATCAACCCCCTATCCATTCTCTTCCTCTCTCTTTCTCTCTGAGCTTGTCCACCACCGATCCCGAGCTTCTTGTCGGCATCCTCCTTGATTGGGCTTATCGTCATCAACGAACGCGGGAGATCAACATCAGCGACGGCCATCTTCGCCATCTTCCCCGCCGCCGACTTTCCCGCGCTTTTTCCCGCGCTTTTCCCCGCCTCTTTGCCCCCGCTGTCGTTTTGTGTCATGTACGGACGGTCGCCACCGGGATCGCGATCGCCATCGTCGTTGCCGCGACCGCCGGCGACGCCTGTTGTCGTCATCGTCAGTGAACGCCGGTCGGGACCTGCGATCCCCATCCCCAGGTCGCCGCCATCGCTGCTCGGTCCCGATCTCCGCGACGAACGGTCGCGATCGACCCCGATCCGCTCACCTTCTCTCCCGCCGCCGCTCTCTCGCTCTCTCCCTCCGTTCATCTTCTTCTCCTCCTCCATTTCGGTTGTCGACATCATCAAATCGAAGAACGAACGGTCGAGATCTCCCGCCATGGCCATCAAGTCTCTCTCCCTCCCTCTCTCACCCTTTTCTCCGATGATGACGTCATCATCCGTTGACGTCATCATCAGTGAGCGGTGAAGATCAGCAACGATTATGTCGTTCATTCTGTCGACTTCGCTCTCCGTCTCTCTCTCGCTCCCTCCTCCCCCTCTCGCTCTCTTTTCTCCGCTTCTCTTCTTCCCGAAATTTTCGTCGATCGCCATCATCAACGAGCGGTGAGGATCCGCCGCCGCCGCCGCGACGCCGACAAACGACTCATGTTTCTGGACGGCCGTCTCGATCCATGAGCGATCGGGATCTGCGGTCGTCGTCGGCCTGATCGCGATTACATTATTATGATTATTATTCTTTTCATTAGCATTATAAGCATCGCCATCCAGAGATGACGATGCATCGCCGGACTTGCTATCGAGAACTAAGATCCATTTTCGTCCCAAACGAACGGTCAAGATTTGATCGGAGGGAAAGCCGAGGAAAAGCAGCGCAACAAGCGGGAGCACGAAAAGCGCAAGGAGTAGCCGATGGACGTAAGCAATCCGTGCGGGACCGAAGCACCTGTGAAACTTCGCTACAGCCATCACGCACTTGAAATCAGATCTTATTCTCTCTCTCTCTCTCTCTCTCTCTCTCTCTCTCTCTCTCTCTCTCTCTCTCTCTCTCTCTCTCTCTCTCT